CGACTTCTTGCTTGATCTGGTAGGGCTTCATCTTAACTGGATCATTGGTTGTGGTCTCGATCTTGTGTTGCACGAGGCCTGTCTTGCCTGGTCAATCTATGAAGACATCTTCATATTGGTACACTAGATCTTATAGCTCTTGCTTTTGCTTATCAGTCAGTTTTTCACTTATGTTCAGATCTTTGTATGGTTCATCTCCACAAAAAAGTCTTAGGTCTAATTGTTCTTCATCTTCTATGACATAAATGATGTCTTCAGGTTCTGCATCTATAACAGCCACACTTGCAATGTCCATCTGTGCTACAATAGCTGCACCATTAGGTCTTCTTTCCTCTTGTAGTACCTCTTCAACAGATTGGCATAGTAGATTTTGGTCTTCCCATCCGCTTTCATCTTATAGTCCATTCTTCTGATCACTTCCTGCACTTTAAAAGGCCCCTTTCACTGCAAGGTGAGTTTGTTGTTGTCTGGGGGTAAAAACCCGAGACCTTCTCTCCGATCTTGAAAACGTCAATCCTTGGAATTCTTAAATGGCATATAAACTCTCTCAAGCAAATTAACAGGTTTTCTCCAGTCGGTTTCTGAGGTCTAACACATACTGTTATATATTCCTCACTTTGACTCTTCTTATTCTGTCCACAGTTTTTTCAGTATCTGCATCAAACCTCGTTCTGTTCTTCTGTACAGTAACTCGAAGAGTAAAGACCCTGTACTTATTTATGGGACTTCTTGGTAACCAAATAATACTACCTGCAAGTATCTGTCCCAATCAGATGGTCTCTTCTGGCACATCTTCTTCAGCATGCTCTTTAAGACTCTCTCATTACATCTGGGATTGTACAGAGTGGTAAAGAGCTGCCTAGTGCATATGAGTCTGCACACGTCTTGAATTAGTTCTGAGGTAAACTGGGTCCCTCTGTCACTCAAGAATTCTTTTGGAAACTCTGCTCTGCAGAACACTTCCAGAAGAGTTTTTGTTACTCTCTTTGTCTCTATCTTTAGTAGTGCTATGGCTTCTGAGTAACATTTTGCATAGTCAACTACTGTCAGCACATACCAGTTGCTCTTGTCAGATACTGGTCCACTCAAATCCACAGCTACTCTGCTGAATGGCTCTTTAAAAATTTGGAAAGGATGATTGTATGTTGGATTACAACGTAGCAACAATTAAAACTTTATTGTACTGCATTGCCTGGGTCCTTAAAACTAAAATGCAGGTAAATATTCTTGCCACACAGTGAGACCTTGCTTACCTACTAAGTGCCATGATCCTGACAACTTTGAGGGAGTTAAAATAAGTTGTGCTGTAGTGACATCAAGCCATCAACTGAAAGACCAAGACCTAGCATTGGCACTTCTCGCCATACAGCAAGGTGAAGCACAGCCAGTGCAGACTGAGGAACGTACATGGATGCATGTAACCCGTGGTATTGTTTGAACAGCTAGAAGTGCAAGAAGGTGTGCTATACCCTTATCAACCACTGAAACACAATTCTCAATATATATTGCCATTACTGGTCCCATAGTTTTTGGACAGGAAATACTTCAGACCTTGCATAATGCAAAGACTGGAAACAGTCAAGGTGTTACACATACCAATGCACTGGTAGTTTTACACCATATTCAAGATGTTAAACAGTAGTGTAAACATTTTATGGTGTGTGCTGTACAGTGGTAGATTGGCTTAAACATGTTAAACCAATAAATAAATCACACACAATTAAAACCATTTCCAACATGTGGGCTCTACATGTTTCGACGTTTACAACGTCATCATCAGGAGTAAACTTGCAAGACATGTGTCATATTTATTTTTTCTTAGCTAGATCATGTGACCTGTGTATAAGTTTACATTTCTGCCAAATCTCAGAGGAGGACCCACCACATTCTTACGTAGATATTCACCGAATCATCGTCTTCATTTAATAATTTGTGATTTTGTTTACCTTTATCATTTCTAAGTATTTGCAAATATTATTGGCTCTAATACCCTTTGGTTGAGCCAATATTACTGGTCCCCCCCCCTAGATCTTAGGTTGTGTTTTTTGTACATGTTCTGCTATGGCCGGATATTCAGCCCTTTCATTTTTTACACATTCCTTATGTTCTATTAAACTATATTTTAAATTACATTTTATCTGTCCAATATAAACACTTCCACATTCAATTTTATAAATTCCTGCTTTTTCCATTAACTGTATATTATCTTTAGTATTACCTAAAATTTATTTTTCTTTTATTCATCTGTTTAGAGTAAAATAATTATTATTTTTTAAAACACTTTCAATAAACTCCAGCAGAGAATCATTGGTTTTCCTTTGCAGAAGTTAGCTTTGGATTTTGCTTATCCTCCATCCAAAATTGAAAAATTAACTAGGTATGTGCTGGTTGTTACCGATTGCTTTATGAAGTGTGCAGAAACTTATCAACTGGTCAACACATCAGCACAGCCACTCACTGGTGTATTATGTGGCACAGAATATCACAATTTAGCATACCTGATGAAATTCACATGGATCAAGTTATTTTTAATAGTCAACAATTCTCCGAGTTGTGTAGAGTGTGGTGAAGATTGGTACTTCACCTTATCACTCCCAGTCTGATGGCTGAGTAGTACAGGTAATATATTCTGTACATCCTTACAGATGAACTTGTGGAGAATATCAGAACATATTATGGCTTATACCTTATGATCCACAGCACAATAGGCTATGGCCAGTCTAATTAGCAGCATAATATATACGCTCTTTTTTTGTCATGCATGGGTTTAAATTGATTAGTTGATCTCTTGGGAGTAGCAATAACTTGATGCTCATTAGGGATATTTCTTAATATTTTTTGTATTGTGTTTAATAAATATGATTACTCTGTATCCAACACTCATTATTATTATCTGACTCAAAGTTAGTCTTTAACTTTATATACCATGATAAAATTTGGTTGAGTGGACGGTAAATACCTGTTGTAGAAGCACAAATATAGAGAGCGTTTCGAAAGTCTTCCGCCTTTCGTCTTCAGGACAGTGTTTATGTATGATGTTGCCGGTCTTTATAGTATTCTGGTGGATTATGGAGGGCGATACCATACATTGACCTGAAGACAAAAAACGGAAGACTTTAAAACGTTGTCCTATCTACTTGTGTTTCTACAACAGGCACATTTCATCATGAATACTCTGCCTAAATAGTCTATCAAAAAATGTATATACCATGTTGTGATCTTTTCTTGTTAGTTCAAAGCTTTGGTTGTTATCCATCTACTCTACTCATAATATGCTCTTTAAGAAAACGTATACTTGAAACTAATAAAAATTTCTAAATAGTTATTAGCCATACTGTTTATTTAGTGTGACGAGCAATATAAATCATTAAGTATAGCATATTTTAAAACACATTGAAAAAGACTAGTGATTAACATTTTCGAAATGTAGCAGAATGGCATGAGAGTTATGACTTTAAAAATTCACGTTTTTTATAAATACCTCTCATTATAAATGTACTCTGTTTTGTAATATTACTTTTGAGTCTGTCATTGAAAATAATTTCCATTATAAAAAAATTATGTACCTATTCTTATTAGGATATCTTTTTATTTTGGAAATAAATGTAGAAAAAAACAGATTTATAACGATTATTTCTCAATTCGCTAATCTTAATTTCTCTACTTCCTTCTTAAACCATTAAAAGGATTGTTTACAACATTTTCTCCTAGTGTTGTGTTTAAAGTGGAAAACAATATTTATGGCATCTCATGTAAAATTAGAGATAAATAACCAAGTGTGTCAAATTGTTTATTGTAAAACCTTTCTACAAATTTATTTTTGCATTAACCTACCAGGAATAGAAATTAAATTATACTTTTAAATAACAGGTGAATGTACAAATGTAAAATACATATTACATGAAATACATTATGGGCAGACTGACAAAAATGTCAAAATTAAATATATAAATACTTTATGAATTTGTGATTTACTAGTTATGGCCTACAGGGAAAGAAATTCAACTCATAGTAACAGTAGGCAAGTATTAAACTGATTACACTAAGAAATACTTGAGGTAATTAAATTAATACATTCACTCATACACACACACACACACAAACAATCATTACTTATCTACCCTTAAATGATGAAAATGTTAGTAAACTAAAAGCTTAAATAAGGCACAGTTTTCAGTCACATGATTGACATATTAAAAACTCAAATTTAGCAATAATGATAGTTTACTAATGATTAAGAAAATGCAGAAGAATTAAATGGAAAATCCCATATATAATTTTTGTGTCTCAAAATGCATCACTATTTCCAAGTGTCACACCCACTGTTTTAACTAATGTACTGCTTGTCTGGTAGAGAAATAATGGTAAACATATTTGTAGAGATTTTCAGATCAAACATTAAGTGTAGGAAGTAAACCTATACACATACAACTCAAATTATATCACTATTTTTGTATCCAAGTACTTAAGCAGTCTTAGAAATATCAAACAACTGATCTAAGAAAATATATTTCTTTAGTTTAATCATTTAATTTCACATATACATTTTAATTATGGTTGCTGACGAAACAGAATTCATGTAGTTGTTTGTGAAAATGAAAGATAACAGTGAAAATATAAGAAAAAATTATTACATAACTAATTTTTCAGTCTAACTTAAATTCCATATTTGTCTTTCTTGTAAAAAGAAAGAGAGAGGGACAGTAAAGAAATAAAACAATAATACATGGAACTTTTCCCCAAACCCTTTATAAAGACTTGTTATTGAGGTCATAATACTTTCATGTATGTTTCACAAACTACATAAAATTATACGAATGGTGTTTTGTGTTAAAGTGAGTTTCCATGGAGTGTTTCCTTGTGAATATTTTCCCACATACAAAGCAAGGAAAGTTACGGTGACTCTTGTGTTGGTGATGAAAATGAGACCTCATGGTACAGTAGGTTCTGAAAGTTTTGTGACAAACTCCACATCTGTGTTGTGGGATGATTTCTTCTTGGTTGTTTTTAGATGTCAAATTCACTGCAAAACGTAATGAATCATTATAGTGCTTGTTATCTACTAATAAATCAAACTGAAGGAAAATGAAACTGAGCTTACACTCTGTGACATTAATATAAAAAAGTTCTAGGAAGGAAATGGTAGCTAATCCAATCTCCTCAGCTTGTAACATACAATAAACTATATTATTCATTTAAGAACAAAAACAAGTGTTATATAATTGCAAAATAACTAAAGGTGAGTCAAACTGCTAGTTTAACTTAAAAAATATTTCAACACAGCAACACTAAAAATTACTCACTCTGACCTAAATTACTGACCTAAACTGTCATAATAAACAGTGTGTCATATAATCTGAAATTATTCTATGAAAAATCCTCAAACATCAGTAAATGGAAACATGTAGTCTTCCCATTTTATGTTTTTCAATGAAATTTTAATTACAATATTACAATTTTAGATTTTTCAAGAACAGCCTTAATTTTTGACGTTGTATTTCTGATTTAGCTTGAGGGAATGAAATGTTAAATTTACGAAATAGTTTGTTTTTTTTTCTATTAAGTGAGACCAAAAGACATAAGGAATCATTCTGTTTAATAACTACTCCTGCACAACACTCATTTCACCTTCTAAATTTAGTTTATTTTCTATTCCCAAATAAAATCAATTTCAAACTTGTACTTTGGTACTGTCATATTATACATTTTACTGCATGTTGTTTATCTTTAAACTGCACAGACACAAGAAATAGATTCCAAAGTTGTTAATTTCATCTGAAATGTATTTTAAAATATACATACACGATTTGTTAAATATTACAACTTCCTGAGCTTTGGTGTTACATTTTAAAACAATTTTCTTCTAAGCATTTATTTAGGTTTACATGATTATTTGTATATGTTACATAACTTCATTTAAAAAAATGTATTTCTTATACAATTTACAGCAAAGTTTCAATATACATAATGATTCATAACTGAACACTAGAAATTTATTCATCACTTACATCAATAAAAATAATTTATAAAAGTAAGTTACAATGTTTTCAAAGAACAAATACGTACTATTGTAAAAAAGCTGAAGACAAGTAACTAACAGTCAACTGAATAGTTACTTTAAAATATGCAAAAAGATAAAAAACAACAACTTTTAATGAAAATGATTAGATTTACCTACATCGCTTATGTCCACTTGTTTCAAACAGAAAACTAGAGACTATGGACTAATGATATTGGTTACAACTTTCCAGATCATGTGTATATATATACAAAATATGCCACATACAACAAAACTGTAAGATTACTTAACCAGTAATACTTTCATTTGTATAATAATATTAATAAAGAAATAATTGCTTTATCCTAGTACATTATGAAGATATAACTACCTCTTATAAGGAACTGCTTATACCTAGTTTAGAGAAATATCTCATTTGTATATTGTACAAAGAAACTGTGATAAAAGAACTTACTTATATTTTTACTAAGAAATAATCTCTTCTGAGACTAACATAACCTTAATTTCAGAGTCTTTATTAATAGACTTCTACGAGGTTTACCATCTAGCTAGCCTGCACCATTGCTGTCAGAAGTTCAAAATTCATATAGCCTTAGTCAAAGTAAGTTTATTTGTTTGTCATTATGCTCTAAGCTACACAATAGGTTATCTGTTTTATGCCCACCATACGTATCAAAACACAGTTTTTAATATTATTAGCCTTCAGACTTGTCACTGGGCCACTGCAGGGGCATCAAAGTAAGGGGAGACATTAAAACATTTCCTGAAACTAACCTTATCTTTATTTTCTAGAAATAAATACAAATATCTCCATATATGGTATTTCAAGATTGGTCAAAGTAATAAAAAATGTGCATGTTCCCAATAAAACAGAATATATATTTTGCAACAAAATTCACTTCAGTTTTGGTCATAACTTTCCTGAAATTATGAAACAAACCAGTGACTGATCATAATATAAACACAATTGTTTATAAAAATGGTCAAAATCTATTTTAAACAAGAAAAAAAACTTATCTATTCAGATATTACTCTTTATATCAAAATAATATATTAAACAGTAGGGTGCATGTACATTAAATGTTTATGTCCTCACCTGATCATCAAAATGTTTCTTAATCTTCATTTCTGACAAAGTTGCAGTTGAAAGACAAAAAACACAGAACTTTCTTTGATTGCATGTAATTACCTCAATATAGATTAACACTGTAAGTGTACATTATCTACAAATCAGATTTCAATAAATCACATTCTAACAAAAGAGTTTATATTCTTATATTTACATCTATTAATTCCAAAGAACCTTCATTTAGATAATACATCAATAGTAAATTGATACTTTCTTTTTTTTTCTTAAGTGAATTGATTTTGAAAGTACTGAGAAGCAGAAATAAAATTACAATTTTCCACAACAATTTGTTTGTTTGTTAAGCACAAAGTTACACAATATAATATTTGTGCTCTGCTCATCACAGGTATCAAATCCTGGTTTTTTGCATTATAAGCCTACAGATTTACTACTGTGCCACTGGTGGGCCCTAATAATTGGAAGAAGATTTAAACATCCAAATTGATCAATATTTTTGAGTACTCAAAGCTAAAAATATCAAACACTTACTGTTGCTGTATAATTCAACTGATGAATGCAATATAGATGAACCCTGACATAATAATGTTATAACTATGGTCAAATAATCCATTGAATAGATATACCTTTAAACAGAGATACTCTTGAATATCTAACACTCTGAAGGTTATATTTTCCATAGTAAGAAACCATAACAATTTTAGACATTCAATAATGCAGATCATTACATTTATTCTTTCTTTTAGATCATAAAACATTAAAGTATATTTTGAACATCTTATTGTACATGTATTGTTATTCATTTTGGTTGTACTTAGAAAAACATAAATGTAAGATGAGGAAAATATTATATATAAAAAAGTGTTTCCTCTAGAACTTATTATAATTAAATGTAGGTCAAGTTCATTATGAAATACCCAAGAATAAGGAAAGAAAAGAGCAACGTTCATTGAATCTGGTGATCCCGAGTACCTTCGTGGTATAGGAAACTTTTGAATTTATAAATATCTGCACATACTTTAGAAAACTTCAATAAGCTTTTGTCTGAATGCAAATTAGGCTAATTTTTCCATGAGATACTATTACACATATAAACAATCTATATGTGCCTTTTCTATAGACCAATTTTTTTGTTGTGTTCATTATATGTACATCCAGTTCAATTATACACTATATTTATGAATTGTCAGAAAAAACTTGTCTCGTTTTCTGTAGTTTGTTCAAAAAACTTTTCAAGTTTTGATTTTCCTTTTCTATTTACTTTCACTAACTAAAAACAAAGTATTTATATAAATGTATATCTTAGTTGTTTTACTCTGGAAATTTACAGCATAATTGCATGACTTACAAGAGATGTGAATTTGATGGGTTTTATTTGCAATTCACATTTTACTATTTTATTTGGTGGGTATTAAAACAATTCTTTGCCATTATTTAATATTTAGTTAAGCACGTGAGATAAACTAGCAAATTATACAAATTTCTTTAAAGAAAATACTAAGAAAACTTCAAGTAAAAGAAATTGTTCAAAAAGACACAAATGAAGCATAAATATAGAAACAAACCTAATGTCAAAATGATTAGCTTTAGATGTAAAAAGAAGAAAGATTTTAGCATATTTTTTCCATTTGTACTTAAATTATCAAAATTCTGGAGTAAATATTTCAAATATTAAAACGTTTCATGCTACAATGTAGGTTAGACTTGATAGAGAAAATTGTATCAGTCATTTTTAGTTCCTTCCTTTTCTTTGTATACATATATTTTATGAGTATTTCTTTTATGTTTCTCAAGTGATTGCAACCACAAGAACTCCTTGAAACAAATGTCACAGTAAAATCTCCTTCTATCTATGTTGTGTGTGGCTATATGTCGAAGAAGATTGTATCTACGAGAATGTTCTTTTCCACAGATACCACATGTCAGATCTACCTGTCGTCTTCTGAGTCTTGATAGTGGTATACGGAAGATGTCTAAAAATAATAATAAACGTTATCACCAGTTTTATAGATTTCATTTTCAAATTAGATGATACTACATGTAATTTCACAGTACTTAAGTGCAGAGAATATTTGAAATAAATCTAAGCTATTAATTGTAGCAGTTTTTAAGACAATAATAACTAATATCAATTATTATATGTTTTAGCCATAAGCTAGGGAGAAAAGGCTATTTTTTAAACTTCTTAAAAAATTTGTTGAATTTGTAATAATTGTCATGCAGTAGTGTATATTACTACTGTATAGACCGCTGAAATCAACTTAAAAAGACAGAACACTACTTTTTGTGGTTCTTAAATTCTCAACCTACAAACTAATGCACAACTAATTACAAAGATGTTCATGTATTCACAGAACAATATTTGTGTATTGGATAATGTTTCACAAATTTTTACAAGACTATTCAGGGGCAGTTTAATGCATCACTGGTGAAAGGTCTAAGCTGAAAAACTATTTTCATTACTTTTGTGTACAAATGATTTCACAAAGTAAAATGTGAAAATAAGGGAATTAATTAGTTTTTGGTGATTCTTTCAAAATTTGTACATGCCACCTTTATTTCCAAAGGAAAAAAATATTAAACTTGTCTAATATAAAATGAAAGTCCAAAATTAAAAACTGTATCAGAAATATGAAAATGAGTCGGGTAGTTATGAATAAGAACAAGTAAATATAAGGAGCTCTAACACAGTGAAGAAACAGGTTTTAATTTCTAATAATGAAAGGTACAACATTTACCCTGTTGTACTTTCTCGTGTGTTTAACTACATAGGAACAAATTTAATAAATACTGTGTGATGTCATCAAGTGCTATGCATATATAACAACTGTAACAAAATATACCATCTTTTAAATTATTAAAGTAACTAGTTTTATATAAAAGTGTATTTCTTCCACCTTTCCTACACAAAGTTGAAAAGATTTAAAAACAAAATGTTCTGCATTGATTCATTTTATACAGTAATATCAGTTCCTTTCTTTGCTAATATTTAATAGGCCTTAAATTAATTTTAACATTCATATGTTATAAGTTTACAACAGTTTATATACTTTACAATATAGTCTCTTATGATTGGTTAAAAACTTTAACATATTTTTTATATCTTTACTGGGCTTCTACTGCACTTTTCTAACAAGCACACTGAAGCTTTCCTATTAACACACTGAGTGCACATTCAACACTTTCATTTCAACTCACCAAAATGCTATGGCACAGTGACTTTAGATTTTTAGCAAAGTCTTGAAACTTTACAATAAAGTTCAAGTCCACACTAACAGAACAATACTAAATTTATATGGTTAATAGCTAGCCTTGACATTTCACATGTCCTCTTCAGTCTAGCATTGGTGTGTATTTACACTTTATTGTAAATTACTTTACACAATGTTGTTAATTTACCATTGAAATTTTATTGGTAGGTTGTGGTTAATTTTATTCAGTTTTTTGTTATGTTGGTAGATTAGTTATTTTCATTAACCTTTCTATAGGACATTTTCCAAGATTATGGTTTTATTAACCCAATTATCAAGTTGGGCTTTAGTTTCTTTTATTAAATCTTTCTGATGTTTATGTGTTTTAAAGTTTTGTCAACTGCTTTGTCCATTGTCATGATTAACAGCTTATAACTTTATTTTGTTCATATGTTTATGCACTACTATAATTTTATCACCTTTTCACCCAGTAACTTATAAAAGGTTTTATTAAATATTTCATTATCTTCGTAGCTTATGTAAAATTATATATATATATATATTTTTAATGTTTACATTGTTGAGAATGTATGAAAAGTTAACTTGTTATTCATTCTTAAATTACATCAGTGGTTTACACATGGTTGTAGTTTCTTTCACCAGCCTTTTAATGGGTTGGAAGCTCATGCCAAGCTGTACTTTCTTTCATCAGCCTATTACTGGGTTAGGAGTTCATGTCAGGCTATAGTTTCTTCATTAATCTTTCACTGAGTTGGTAGTTCTTGTCAAGCTGTACTTTTCTTTCATCAGCCTTTTACTGGATCAGGAACTCATGTCAGACTATAGTTTTTTCATTAACCCTTTTTTGTATCAGTAGCTTTTGCAGGGGTTAGTATCTTTCATATGCTCTTTCATTGTGTTAAAAGCTTATAATCAGATTCTTTTATGAAACCTTTCATTATCTTTGGTAATTTATGCCTCAAAGCCATTTTTATAAAAGTTCTTGGTCTCAAAATGCTCTTTTTTTATATATCTAATATAAACATCTACTTTTCACTATAATTCCATCTTCAAACTAGTTAATTCAACATAAAGTTAAAAGACAACATCATATTCACTGATAAGTTTATTTAGGTTTTTATGCTTTCTAACGTTATTATTTAATGAAATGGCAATCATTAGAAGTAACATAAAATTACTATAAATGTATAGTTTCTTCACAAAATAATTTTACAGAAAACAATTTGCAGAAAAGCTTCTCTGTAAGACAAAATAATATGATAAATGTTTGCTGAATTATGCACAAAGTTACTTGAATACTATCTGTCCTTCCTGCCCCTAATTTTAAAGTGATAGACTAAAGAGAAAGCAGTTAGTCAACACCATCCACCACCAACTTTACCAATGAATAGTGGGATTGACCATCACACTAGAGTGTTTCCCACAGCTGAAAAGCGAGCATGTTCATTGATGGGAGTCAATCCTGTAACCTGCAGATTGCTATCCAAGTGCCTAACCACAAGGCCATGCCAGGTTTAAATGTTTGGTAATCACACAGAAACATGAAAATTATGTTTGATATTATATATATTTTTCCACAGTTCATATAAGAAATGTTAAATAAGCCATACGTGAGGTTAGTTAATTACCTAAGCAATAGTTTAGCCAAATAAAAAATTTTGCTAAATAAACCTACAAATTACTACCATCAATCTAATATACATAAACACAATTATTTTTCTTCTCCCCCAAAAAACTGGGACTTCAATACACAAAACTTTTAACATTAACTGTTCAAAAGGATTCATAAAAAATTAACATTAATATTTTTTTCATTCTTAGTTTAATATAGATATAGCATCCTTTAAAATATAATATATAACACCCTTTATGTTAATACAGCTTTTATAAAGCACACTGATATGAATGTATGTCAGACAATTCAACAACTGAATATAATATTTGTGTGAACTTGGGTTTAAAATATCTGGCTAGGCACAGTTCTCATTAAACATACATCTGTGATAAGAAAATAACATTTTAGTGATAATAAACAGTGACAGAATTTGTATGGTTCTGTATGTAATTTTGAGCAAAAAGTACATTTTGAATACTTAAGGACATTATTTAAGTATTATTTTTCCATTATAGTTATACTGACCTCTAAAAAGTTTGAATAAGGTATCTATCTAAAAATGTGTTCTTAAGATTAAAGGTGAGACAAAATATTCAAGATCAAAAACAGTGCACCATGCAAAATGAGTAACCACACAATGTCAAAATTCCTCAAAGAATGAGCTACCTGGAATATTGTGTTAAAATTCTATGTATGGTGTTACAAGTTCCTTTTACTCATCACATTATATGGGATTTGAAGGATATGTAGCATTCCATCACTATAAAAACCTTTTATTGTTCTTTTGATTTGCTTTTATCCAAAATTATTGATGGTGAAATTCTCCCAAATTAGTATAACTTGATTGCAACTTGGTATTCAATTAATAGACTGGACTTCATACTTATTTCTAACTACAGTGTTTCTGAATATTATCCACACTTAAATTTTGAACAAATTCAGGAAGACCCACATACATCATAGTTTTATTCAAGCATTTGAGTACAATTTTCTTGTTCTTATTAAAAAAAAGAGAAAGTAATATATTCAATCAAAACTTTATGATAATGTCTAAACCTAAATTTCTTATTCATGTTATAATCCCGTATTTTGTTCTTTAGTTTTATTGGCATTTCATTGAATGTTTTTCAAGAGATTAAATATAGAAAAAAAATCCTTTTAGCAGATGTTACAAGAAAAAAAGTATTTTTCTTCATGTTCAGTGAAGTAATATTCTGAATATAAAAAATATACTGAACAATAATAGTAAAACAACTAAAATATATTTTATACACATGTAAGTATAACAAAGAGATCCTGAATAACAAAGAATTCTATACTAGACAAAAAAATTACTAATAGTTGGTTTATTTGTTGTTAAGTGCAAAGCTACACAAGGAGCTATCTGTGCTCTGTTCATCATGGGTTGAAACACCAATTTTTAGTGTTATAAGCACTCAGATTTACTACTGAGCCACTCCAGGCACTAATAATTGGGGCTGCTCTCATAAACACGAGGTAACAACATGTGACAGTGTTCATTTTCAATGTTTCAAGTAGAAAGTGAAAAATATATAATGTAACCTTTCAGGTAAAAATGTATTCACACTATTTGAGAGATTTTCTCATAAATAATTTCAAATACAAGTCAATGAAAGAATAAAACTAGTTAACATGAACTATCATTAAAACATATTTACACCAGTCTTTTAAGTATTACATAAATGCAATTGAAATAAGTTTTCATTTTTCCACCTCCCAATTTGAAAATTTTGATGAATGTTCTCTAACTTTGTCAACAAAAGCTTTCATCAGATAAAGATTTTTTTTTCACAAAAAGTTGGGAAAACATTTTGTTTAAGCCATATTGTGTTCCAAAAAACAAATATAAAACTGCCACTTTCATACTTATAAATATAAACAGTGTAAGTACTTCAAACAACTTCTTATACATTTTATCATATGAAAGTCAGTATGTTCATGTGTATATATATACTGAGGAATCAATCAGAATACAGCCTTAATCATAACACTGGGCATGTCATGTATATATACTGAGGAATCAATCAGAATACAGCCTTAATCACAACACTGGGCATGTAATGTATATATACTGAGGAATCAATCAGAATACAGCCTTAATCACAACACTGGGCATGTAATGTATATATACTGAGGAATCAATCAGAATACAGCCTTAATCATAACACTGGGCATGTCATGTATATATATACTGAGGAATCAATCAGAATACAGCCTTAATCATAACACTAGGCATGCATGAAACCATAGATTTTTCT